AAATGTGCTTCTGGAAGAATGGTCAAACATTCCCATAGACACCCTCCTAAACCTTGTGGACAGCCTTCCAGAAGAGTTGAAGCTGTTATAGCTGCAAAGGGTGGGCCAACTCAGTATTGAACCCTACGGACTAAGACTGGGATGCCAATAAAGTTCATGTACTTGTAAAAGGCAGGTGTCCCAATACTTTTGGTTATATAGTGTATATGCAGACCAGGACTTTTCATCCCAAAGCAGACTTCATGTTTGTTCTGGGTCAGTGACTCAAAGTACTGAATTCAGTGACAGGCAGCTAGCATTTTCAAAAGGTCAGCAGATTAAACATCTTTAAAGTAAAGCTTTGTCCTCTTCCATTTCGTACCTCCAAACTGGTTAGTGAAGCTTGCAATCACATTAAAGTCAATAGCAAGGCACAAGATGGGGTGTTCAACCTTACAAGCTCTGTTTGAGAAATACATTGCACAAAGCTCCTCTAACACTTTAGAAGAACGCTGAATCAAAGTTCAAAACACTGGAAGTTTATCAACCTTAGAGTCCAGTCTATTTTCCATGGGCGTCATTGACACCATAAAAAAAAAAAAAAAATGGATGTCGTCAATGGGGGACACAAGACACTTCTGCCTCACACTCCATATTGCCCATTGAACACTGCCACAGCTTCTGCTTTTCCTCCCTATCACTATATTGTTGGAGGGCAATGTCCCACACTGGCCTCTCGTGAAGGAGATGAATGGGTGTCTCATAGGAGAAGTCCCCGGTCATATTGACATCTTTCAACATTTTTCCTGACCTCAAGATGAATGCTTTCTGTACATGTCCCTTTCTGTCTTGAACATCAATCCAATGTGCCGTTGATTTTTACTTTCTTCATCAAAAACAAAATTTTACGGACGTATATTGATGTAATCACTTTACATCAGCATGCCTGCAAAAAACAAAACAAAAAAAAAACAGAAGAAAGCGCATACCTATTCAGTGTCTAATCACGGATCTAAACAGACATGGATGTGTACAGATTATACCGATTGTCATCAGTATACATCCGCCCGCCAGTTGGAATACATTATTGTCTGTTTTCCATCTGTAAAAAGAGGGAGGAAAAACAGACATGAGGAATGCCCATTTGAAAAGGAGACTAACAGGTGGCAAAAGAGATTTAAAACAAGCCTTTCCTGACTTCTTTTAATGTGAAGTTATTTATTCTCAAAGATCATAAATTCTACAGTTGGGTTTCAGTCATTTTCAAACAGCTTAAATACACCTGCTGTGTGTTTACATTGGAGGGCTGGCAGGATCAGCTTTTAAAGAAAAAAGATTTACTTACTACTGTGAACTTTAAATTAAAATTAATTTGCTCACCAAAGCATATAGATCCAGAGATGAATGAGCATTTGTTTTAAAGCATTTTTACTGCTTCCTCAGAATATGTCAATAAGCAAAGCTAGTGGGTTCATTTTGGATACAGTGTGGATGGATTAAATCCACTGTCAAAAATGAGTAAACTGAAACTTAGAAAAAAATTTCCACTTCGTGTCTGTTTAACAGGTGTCAGATCAGTGTGGCTGTGAGAATTTTAATTGTGTCCTTGGGAGGGAGATTTCCCTTCAGTTACTATTTGATGGCATTCAGACCAGAAAAGCAGCAAGGGAAAACCTCCCTGTCTCCTATATGATGGGTGTCTGACAGAACAGGAACTGAGGAGAATTCCCCCAACAGGGACAATGCCCATTACAAAAATATTTCCTAGTAAAGAAAGAAAGGCTTAGAACCTTGGTCAGGATTTTATTGATTTCTATGCTCCCCACTGGGAGCGATTTTTGCAGGCTTCCTGTCTAGATGAAGGGTGACAGACAGAACAGGAACAGAGAGGGAAACACGTCTTTTCTATGTTATGATAGAAAGCATTTGAAAGCTAAGGGCTCATGTACACGGGGCGTTTGGAAAACTCTTCTGAACGATGGAAACTGACTGCTGGAAAACGTAGCTTAAAAACGTCAGTTTAACCGCGTTTATGCACGTTCAGAAGCGGTTTAAAAGATAACCTCAGGAGATCCTCCAAAATGCCCAGAATGCACTGAAAAATAGTATACAATTAACTATTTCAGACATTTTGAGAGAAATAGAGAGAGCAGAAGCAGAGAGAGCAGTATGTGTTGAGATGACCTGTCTTTTCTGGTTGTATTCACTATGGATCCCATCATGAGCATAATGTGGCACATTCTACCATTTTTTTCCTTCACGCAAAACCTGAAACTGACTGAGCTACTAGGTCCATTTGAATACATGGAAGATGCTTTGCATGCATTTCTGATGATGAAAAAAGCCTCTGGACAGCATCTGGATATGGAACAGTTAAAAAAAAACGCTTCTAAACACAAACGCTTATAAATGCGGTTAACCGCGTTTACAAGCGTTTGAAATCTACTTCTGAACGCAAGTTTGGTGCATTAAAAAAAAAAACGACTGTAAACTCAACTGCCTGTAAACGACTATGTATACATGGACACATAGGAAAACATTAGGGAGAGTTCAGGGGCTGCTGAAAAAACGCTGAACAGTTCTTGAACGTCAGTTTAGCAGCTGCAGTGTACATGAACCCTAACAGAGGTTCTAACCCAGCAATGGGCAAACTACGGCCCGCATACGGCCCGGAGGACCTTTTAATCCGGCCCGCGGAGCTAGGCTCCCGCTAGGCTCCTCTCACAGTCCGCCCTGAAGACCGGTGTAGCATGAAAATCTGTCTCCTATAAGGATCTGTCCCCTCGACGTATCTGCGCATGTGCCGGAGATCGCCGATCGGCTGCTAATGCCTGAAACTGGCATATGCGCAGATACGTCGAGGGGGACAGATCCTCATAGGAGACAGATTTTCATGCTACACCGGAACGGCGCGGGAATACGGCGAGAGGAACGCGCGGAGCAAAGGTAAGTGAATTGACACAGGGGGGACTTGGGGACTTAATATGGGGGATGAATTACTATAGGGGGGATGAATTCCTATATGAGGGGGTGAATTACTATATGGGGGATGAATTACTATATGGGGGATGAATTACTATATGGGGGATGAATTACTATATGGGGGATGAATTACTATATGGGGGATTAATTACTATATGGGGGATGAATTACTATATGGGGGATGAATTACTATGGGGGATGAATTACTATATGGGGGATGAATTACTATATGGGGGATGAATTACTATATGGGGGATGAATTACTATATGGGGGATGAATTACTATGGGGGATTAATTACTATATGGGGGATTAATTACTATATGGGGGATTACTATATTAATATATATGGGGGATGAATTACTATATGGGGGATGAATTACTATATGGGGGATTAATTACTATGCTTACTATGGGGGAATATTACTATACTTACTATGGATGACACATACACATCATTCATCTACTCTTGGTCCGGCCCCCGGGTCCAATATATGAACCCATTGCGGCCCTCAAGTCAAAAAGTTTGCCCACCCCTGTTCTAACCCCTTTCTGCTGTATACAAAAAAATGTTGGCTAGAGTTTGTCTTTATCATTACAGGTTGCCTTAAAGACACTGGCACAATCCCGACTCCAAGGAATAACCAGCCTGCCACGTCGACAACAAGACTGTTCTAGGACACCCAGTGAAATGTCACATCTGCGGCTACTGTGCCACAAATAACAGGGTGTCGCTGTAGCTGTGCGGCCTTTGAAGTGGCTTTTCAGGGAAACCACATTGTATTTAGAGCAGCGCTGTCTGCTATCCCCGTCCCTGCACGCTGCCAGAAGTGTGCGAGTATGAAGAATGCTGAAATGAGCAGCACGTGAGGCCACACTGCAAATGGAAAGAGGAGAGCAAAAACTGGGACAAACACATGCAGGAATCAAGTCTGGTGTACGACGGAAAAATTAAGGAGCGGCGGCGTACATTTCATTTTCTGAAATAGTTCAGACTTAATTACATTTACATAATGCCTGCTTTCTCCAGACCTCCCACTTCATGGGCTTATTTGCAACCTTCTGTTTTTTCCCCTCCAAAACACGACGACAGTCTGGAGCAGCCGTACACAATTTAAAATGTGCAGATTGCTACGTCTAATGAACACGCGTCTGGATACAAAACCGATGGATAGTGTACAGTTTGAGTCATCTATGTGAAAAGGAGCACCATTCACAAACATATCTTCTATCTCACTGCTTTTTCATTTTTTTTTTAAATTTTTTTTTTTTTTTACACCCAACTGATTCCTAAGCCTAGGTTCACGCCTATGAGTTTACAGCGTTTAACAGGATCTTAGACACAGAGAATATTTACAAGTAAATGCTCACTGAATGGCACCACTGGAAAATCATTACCGTATTTTCCGGCGTATAAGACGACCCCCTACTTTTCCTGTTAAAATATAGTGTTTGGGTTATACTCGCCGTATAAGACCACCCCTCTTCCAATGCACACCAGTGGGAAGAATCGTGCCCCATCATTGGTGTCAGTGGGAGTAATAGTGCCCCATCTTTGGTGTCAGTGGGAGGAATCGTGCCCCGTCATTGGTGTCAGTGGGAGGAATAGTATCCCATCATTGGTGTCAGTGGGAGGAACAGTGTCCCAACATTGGTGTCAGTGGGAGGAACAGTGTCCCAACATTGGTGTCAGTGGGAGGAACAGTGTCCCAACATTGGTGTCAGTGGGAGGAACAGTGTCCCAACATTGGTGTCAGTGGGAGGAATAGTGTTCCATCATTGGTGTCAGTGGGGGGTGGAATAGTGCCCCATCCTTAGTGTCAGTGGTGGGGAGGAAAAGTGCCCCATCATTGGTGTCAGTGTGAGGAATAATGCCCCATCATTGGTATCAGTGACACCAATGATGGGGCACTATTCCTCCCACTGACACCCATTACACTTGCTGACCGATGTTCCAGTATGGTGCTGCTGCAGCCAGCATATGTGGTTTGCAGCAGCACCTCTGCACGGCACACTTACCGGCCGCTCCTTCACTCGATTTTCGCGGGGCCGCTCGGCTCCGCCTCCTCGCCGGTGATTGGCCGCCTGTGTGCCTTTCCTGAGCTACAGTTCTGGCGGCCAATCACCAGTGAGGAGGCGGAGCCGAGCAGCCACGCGAACATCCAGTGGCCGAACTGAATAAAGGAGCAGCCGCGCTTCCTGGACTGGATCTTCGTGGGACTGGGACCAGAGCCAGGTAAGAAACAGCAGCCCCTGCCCACCCCTGTACTTCGTGTCCCTTCCGTTGAAAGGGGGGGGGGGCGGCGGCACCGTGCCGCCCCCCTAAAAAGTGCCGCCCTGACACCAAGTGTCAGCATGCCGTATACCGGCGTATAAAACGACCCCTGACTTTTGAGAAGATTTTCAAGGGGTAAAAAGTCATCTTATACGTCGGAAAATACGGTACATGCATTTAGAAATGTCCTTTAAATGCATTTTTGACTATGCCAGTGTGAATGAGGCCTTGGAAGCAAAGCTTTGTAAATTCTAAGTATGGCCAGTTTTGAAAAGCTCCTGAGGCTTTCTACGTTAACAGAGTCTGGCCTCATACACACAGGACATTTTTTTTCCCCTCCCAGTATTCTTGAATTTTGTGACACTCCCACCATAAGTGTATCATTGTATCTCTCTTTCACATCCCCATCCACATCCCCGCCAACATAAAGGTGAATAGTCTCCACTTATTCTATGCGCTACATTCGGTGTAATATACCATCTTACGAAACACTTATAATTCATTTCCATTTCCTTCATATTTACATTCCCGTGAATTAAACTATATATTTTCTTTTGTTTTTCCTCATCAATTATTACTTCTAAATCCCTTTCCCACTTCTCTATAAATAGTGGCCTTGTAGCTGTGATTAAACCTGTGAGAATTTTATCTATTTTAGTGATGCCGTGCTTCCCATCTCCTCTTATATCTAATAAGTGCTCAAAGGGGTTCCAATCCTTTCTTTTTCTTAATGGCACTGAGAGACTACCTACAAAATGTTTTAGTTGACCATACCGCGCCATTCATCCATTCTCGCAAATATATCCCTCCTACTTTCCAGTTCACTAAGTGGACTCAACTCTTCTCCCACCATTATATCTTTTAATTGAATATAATTCAGGACATAACAAAGGTAAATATTCCTAAGAACCTGAGACTTGGTTTTTCTTTTTGGTACTGAGTTTTCGGTTAAAAAATATAAAAAAAAACTGGATTATTGTATTATTTAAATGCAGCGAAGGGACTGATACCCAAGCTTTGGAAGAAACACAACAGGCACCGAAAATAAAGGATTGGGTAGAAAGAGTGCAGAAGATATATAGAATGGAGGAACTTTACAATATGGAAGAAGATAAAGTGGAGGTATTTCGTACAAGTTGGGAAAAGTGGGTACAGTTTAAAAATTCAGAGGTATACCTAGAATATGTGAAATGAGGAAAAGAAGGGGAACGGGATAAATATAGTATAATACCAGTAATAGCTAAGGTTCAGGATTTCTAGAATGAAGTTAAAAATGCATAATCAAAGGGGGGGGGGGGGGGGGGGGATAGGTAAGGGGAGGGGTAAAAGGTCACCGAGATTAAGGTAATTTCTGGGGAGTGTTATGACAGAAATGTGTAATGTATATTGTCTGTTTTATTAGCTTTTGTACATTTAATATGGTGATTTGAAAACAATAAAATATTTAAATTTAAAAAAAAAAAAGGAAATTTTTTTTTCCCCTCTCCTGGATGCCTTCGCTCCAGGGGAGGAAAAATCAGCGTTAAAAACAAACCTAAAGCCACATTTCTCAAACACGTTTAGGCGCATCAAGTGTCTGGGCGTTCGTACACTCCATTGGCCAGAATAGGAATTTATTCTGGCGATTGGAATGAACTAATGCTCCAGCACATATACACACATTTAGGCGCATCAGAATTTGTGCGGAAAATTCTCCTCTCCTGAACACTCTGACACTGGGTTTTTTTTTTTGCCTCTAAACGCCTATGTGGTAGGCCAACATACAGGGGCATTTAGAGGAAAGAAAAAAAAAAAATCAAACGCCCTTAACCCTAGGTTCACATCTGTGCGGGTGGTGCCGCAGCGGATCCGTGCAGCCGCACCACCCGCACAGAGAAATGCTGACCCGCGGGCAGCTGCCACTAATTCTAATGGCATGCTGCCCGCACTGGAAAACGTAACCAAACTGGGAACTGAGTTTCCCGTGCTGGCCACGTTTTCCAAAGAAGTGCAGGGACTTCTTCCCTGCGTGTCACGGGCATGGGAGTCCATTCAAATGAATGGGCTCTCATGCACATGCAAAACGTGCCCCGCACGGCTGCATAGATGTGAACCGGGGGTAAAAGTGGTGTTTTTAACGCCCAGTGCGCATAAGGCCTTAGGTTTAGCTTCCGCTATGCAAGTACTTGCAGCACACGTCAAAATGATTCTATATACTGAAAAGCTGAAATGAATGCAGGGTTTAACCCTTTCACTTTCAGACCATGCACTTCATTTTTAACCTCAGGTGACCAGACCAATTTTGCAGTATTTACCTTTCTATTTTGTTTTTTTCATTTTTCACTTACAGCATTCAGAGTTTGTAGAAAAAAAAAAACACTGAACATACATTTTCTAAAAACACATGGCCAGTAGAATAAAAAGATCATGCTATGGATAATGCTCCATTTATGCCATCATGTTGTGGGAACGTGCACACTCCCGTGCATCTGACTAATGTGAGGCACCGCAGGCTACTTGACTGTGTGATGCAGTGCTATTCAGAATGAGTGAATGGCATTCCAATGCATCTTGCCTACAGAGAAGGATTGAGGACACAATCTCCTCCTTTGCAGTCCCTGCTGCACTCATGTACTGAACAGTAAGTGCTCCATACAGCAAGCATCCTGATCATTCACATAAGAAAGATAGTAAACGAGAAAACAAAACATTCCTGTTCATCTCAATATGAATGAACACCGGGTAATCAAACACTGTTCACTGTTCTGATCCTCCCCACTGGGAGGTGGTTACTTCTCCCCTACACAGCCCATTATCTCTCCTGTTACAGGTGGGAAGGGATCTGAGGTTGTGCATGAGAAAGGGAACCCAGGTTCTTTGTCAGCGACCAGCAGGGAAGACCTGTGTTGGCAGAGCAGCAAGTCTTGGCCATAGTGGCAGGGGATCACTTGTTGAATGAATTGCTACGATCAGTGGCTTCTCAGTCAATGATCACAACTGTTGATTTAATCAGGACAGTCAGGAGTACATTTCGGATAAGTTCACGCGTCATTTATAGCAGAGTGGAAAATAAAGGCAACAGAAGGCAAACTGACCTGGCCAGCTGGAAGAGTTTCTGTTCTACCATAGGATTTAAGTTGCAGGCAGTGAAAGGATTAAGGATTTTAATGAAAGTCCTGGGAAAATGTTTTCACACAGAAAAAAAAACAGAGCATGTCCAGCAGTGATGGAAAGGAAGATGTTTGCATCCAGGACTCACACCTGGAAGGAAGTGACCGCTTATTTCTCGACAACAGATATACACAGCCATTTTTAACCTTCAGGCTGGCCATACATTATACAATTTTCTGTCAAATTTCCTTTAGATCAGTGGTTCTCAACCTTCCTAATGCCGCGACCCCTTAATACAGTTCCTCATGTTATGGTGACCCCCAACCAACCATAAAATTATTTTCGTTGCTACTTCACAACTGTAATTTTGCACTGGGAGGAGTGGTGCCACATCATTGGTGTCAGTGGGAGGAATAGTGTCCCATCGTTGGTGTCAGTGGGGGGGGGGGGGGGGGGGGGGGGGGGGGGGGGGGTGGGGGTGTGCCACATCACTGGTGTCAGTGGGAGGAATAGTGTCCCATCGTTGGTGTCAGGGGGGGGTGGGAGGAATAGTGCCCCATCCTTGGTGTCAGTGGGGGGGGGGGGGGGGGGAGGAATAGTGCCCCATCCTTGGTGTCAGTGGGGGGGGGGGGGGGGGGGGGGGGGGGGGGGGGGGGGAGGAATAGTGCCCCATCCTTGGTGTCAGTGGGGGGGGGGGGGGGGGGGGGGGGAATAGTGCCCCATCCTTGGTGTCAGTGGGGGGGGGGGGAATAGTGCCACATCCTTGGTGTCAGTGGGGGGGGGAATAGTGCCCCATCCTTGGTGTCAGTGGGGGGGAGGAATAGTGCCCCATCCTTGGTGTCAGTGGGGGGGAGGAATAGTGCCCCATCCTTGGCGTCAGTGGGGGGGGGGGGGAATAGTGCCCCATCGTTGGTGTCAGTGGGGGGGGGGGGGAATAGTGCCCCATCGTTGGTGTCAGTGGGGGGGGGGGGGGGGAATAGTGCCCCATCGTTGGTGTCAGTGGGGGGGGGGGGGAATAGTGCCCCATCGTTGGTGTCAGTGGGGGGGGGGGGGAATAGTGCCCCATCGTTGGTGTCAGTGGGGGGGGGGGGAATAGTGCCCCATCGTTGGTGTCAGTGGGGGGGGGGGGAATAGTACCCCATCGTTGGTGTCAGTGGGGGGGGGGAATAGTACCCCATCGTTGGTGTCAGTGGGGGGGGGAATAGTACCCCATCGTTGGTGTCAGTGGGGGGGGGAATAGTACCCCATCGTTGGTGTCAGTGGGGGGGGGAATAGTACCCCATCGTTGGTGTCAGTGGGGGGGGGGAATAGTACCCCATCGTTGGTGTCAGTGGGGGGGGGGGAATAGTACCCCATCGTTGGTGTCAGTGGGGGGGGGGGGGAATAGTACCCCATCGTTGGTGTCAGTGGGGGGGGGGGAATAGTACCCCATCGTTGGTGTCAGTGGGGGGGGGGGGAATAGTACCCCATCGTTGGGTCAGTGGGGGGGGGGGGATAGTACCCCATCGTTGGGGTCAGTGGGGGGAGGAAGAGTGCCCCATCGTTGGGGTCAGTGGGGGGAGGAAGAGTGCCCCATCGTTGGGGTCAGTGGGGGGAGGAAGAGTGCCCCATCGTTGGGGTCAGTGGGGGGAGGAAGAGTGCCCCATCGTTGGGGTCAGTGGGGGGAGGAAGAGTGCCCCATCGTTGGGGTCAGTGGGGGGAGGAATAGTGCCCCATCGTTGGTGTCAGTGGGGGGGAGGAATAGTGCCCCATCGTTGGTGTCAGTGGGGGGAGGAATAGTGCCCCATCGTTGGTGTCAGTGGGGGGAGGAATAGTGCCCCATCGTTGGTGTCAGTGGGGGGAGGAATAGTGCCCCATCGTTGGTGTCAGTGGGGGGAGGAATAGTGCCCCATCGTTGGTGTCAGTGGGGGGAGGAATAGTGCCCCATCGTTGGTGTCAGTGGGGGAGGAATAGTGCCCCATCGTTGGTGTCAGTGGGGGAAGGAATAGTGCCCCATCGTTGGTGTCAGTGAGAGGAATAGTGCCCCATTATTGGTATTAGTGACACCAATGATGGGGCACTATTCCTCCCACTGACACCAGTGATACTTACCTTGCTGATCCCTGCTCCAGCCTGAGCTCTCCCTCCCTCCCTCTCCCATCTACAGCCAGCACATCTGGCTGCAGCAGCACCATCTGCACGGTACAGACACTTACCGGTCAGCTGTCTTCCTTCTCTTCACTCGCCCAGGCAGCTCCCTCACTCGATCTTCTTTGATCTTCGTGCTGCCGCTCGGCTCCTCCTCTCCAAGGTCCACCTCCTCGCTGGTGATTGGCCGCCTGTGTGCCTCTCCTGAGCTACAGTTCCGGCGGCCAATCACCGGCGAGAAGGCGGAGCTGTTGAGTGATCCCCGGGGTGTGGCCAGATGACAGGGGCGGAATGTCATCCCGCCCACATATCGCGGTCCAGGGAAATGTGGGCATATCTGCATGTGGGTGGACCCGACTGGAGACGGATAGAGGAGCGGTGTCTCCAGTCGGGTCCTAAGACCATCGGAAATATGTGTTTTCCAGTGGTCTTAGGCGACCCCTGTGAAAGGGTTGTTCGACCCCCAAAGGGGTCGTGACTCACAGGTTGAGAACCGCTGCTTTAGATTCACCTTCGCCTGGGCCTGCCCGATTGGATACAATTGAAAGTGTTGTTTTGGTATGACCTCATATTATATGGTTTTTGATAAATCTAAGACTTGGCCATACATTATACAATTTTCTGCCCAATTTCCTTTAGATTTACCTTCAAGTATGTAGAGCAAGGGCCTGCCTAATTGGATACAACTGAAAGTGTTGTTTAGGTTTGACCTCATATTATATGGTTTTTGGTAAATCTAAAGCAAAATTCTCAAGAACATTGTATAGTGTATGGCCAGCCTTAAGTGTAAATTGTCAAGAGCACTATGTTTTCAGACTATTTATAAGCATCTAAAATGCCCTGCTTAGCAGTCTTCCAGAATTTCCTTAATGCCTGATGAAGCCTGCTAAATGCTTTGTAAAGATGCAGCCGGCCATCCCATTAAAATCACCCTGTTAGTTTAAAAAAACATATCCAGGATTTAAGAACCCTGCGAGAGAAGAGGTAGTATAGTCACCCCTGCAGCAGCAGCAGCAGCATTCATCTACACTTCTACCCTCCCTATAGCTTCCACAGCTGCATGCACCATCAATCTCTTCAGCATTCATCACTTCTGGGAGTGTCGGATGCATCTGCCTCCTTACCCCTTGCTTCCATCTTCACACCCACTATATCACTGCTGAGTCCTGTAGTGACATACGGATCAGAGAATGCAACCATGGAATGTTGTAGGGAACACAATCATCCGACATTCCCGCAAGTGTTGACTAATGAAAACAAAAACACAGGCTGCAGTGCTAACAATTGAGGGGCGGCAAGACACATGGATAGTCAGAAGAGTGAATATATTACCTCTTCTCTTGCATAGATCATTAAATAATTTTAAAGTGTATTTTCACCTTTGCAACAACCCCCATCCTTCACTGACCACCACCACCACATGATGCTAATGAAATCTTTATATAAAAGCGGTTTTCTTCTTTATATAACATTAATGTTTAAAGTGGGTCTCTGTACTTTTCTATGTAATAGAAGCAGATTATGGCTGGTGGGAGGGTGCTGTACCAAGCTTCCAGAAAACATCATCACTATCTGCCTTAAAGCGGAGTTCCAGTTGATTTAAAAATAAATAAATAAATCAAAAAAAATACAAAAACTGTAGCTGCTGACTTTTAAAATACAGTCATTTACCAGTCTCTCGGTCCAGCGGTGTCCTCCCCACCACTGGTTTCACCAGCCGTCTTCTCTCCCCGACGCCAGCATCTTCAGCGTAGGCACCCAGTTGTGACAGCTTGTGGCTTTATAGCCGGGTGCACAAGAGCGACTAGTACTACGCTTTGTGAATGGTCCCGTAGTCTTCTGGGACCTGTCACGTGTCCCAGAAGACTACGGGGAGGGAGAGGACAGCTTCCACTTCCAATCGCCTTAGACGATCGCAGCAGAAGTGGGGTACCTGTCGAATTCGGGTACCCGCTCCCCAAAGGTTCCAATTCTTAACGGGGAGTGCGGGACATTGCATTGAAGCGGAACTTCCCCTTTTGGGTGGAGCTCTGCTTTAAGTACTCCTCCTACGAGCCTTCAGCTGTAAAGGAGTTTTGCACATATCAAATGCCTTGATGCTTTTCTAAGCAGGCTGTATTTGCATGCAGATTGCCATAGGCAACGCCCACACAGGATACTGATCCTCCATTAAATGAATAAAAGGGGAGGGCCGAGACAGTAAGGCTGAGGAAGACAAAGCTAGATGTTGTTGGATGTCCTCCAACCAGGAAAAGATCTTTTGTGAGGGTAGTAAATTTTAGTACAGCAGAGAAACCTGTACAACTCTTCCAAGACTGAAGATTAAGATTAGAGTTCAGCTTTAATGCTGAAGGAAGAGTTTTTTCTAAAGCTGGCCTTATGTCAGTATACTTTCTTACAACACAACACTAGTTTTCATGATTGTCAGGATATTATTCTGAAATGTAATTCTGACCAAAAAACAGCTAAAAGGTAGAGAAATGCAACCGAATTCTCTGTGCAGGTGTACCTCGGTTTATAAACACCTTGTTTAATGTAATATTCAGTTTACGAATGAAAATCCATTTAAAATAATGCCTCAGTTTACAATTTTTTTCGCAATACATAGTGTATGTCGGTGCTGATTTTTAAATGCAATTGCGGGGGTTTTTTTTTTCTTCACTATGGTGTCCTTTTATCATGCAGCGGTAAATGACCGCTGCTCAGTTCTCCGGCATTCTCAGAGGAGAGAGTTCTCCCCTGAATGCCTTTTTAGAATCGGTGTAGATCACTTTTACAAAAGCTTTGAATGCTGGAAAATGGCTGTTTATACTATAATCTCGCAAGATTACAGTAAAAGATCAGTCAAACACCGTTTACTAAGCAGTGGTAAATTATCGCTGCTTCGTTTGCAGTTTCCCCGATTCTCCAGCTCTGGGCTGGAGAACCTGGAGGGAGAACACAGATCGCCAGTGAAGGGCTGACATCGCTCCTTCGTACACTGGCCATCTGTGTGCTGAGATGACCAGCGGAGAACATGTTCTCCACTGATCATCTCTGTTTCCTAAACCACTAATGATCGGAGATCAGCAACGATCCTTAGGATCGCCGCTGATCTCTATTTAATAAAAGGACACCTATAGCTGTCACTTTCCCCAGAGTTAAAGGAAGCTTTGTTTCTTTTAAGAAACTAAAAGGAAACATTGTTTCATTTAACTTGGGGAAATAAACTAAAAGAAACTTTTTCTTTTAGCAGAAGGGAAAGTGACAGCTGAATCTCTGAGCTATAGCGAAGAAAAAATAAAGTGGTAATTACATTTAAAAACCATAATAAAATTAAAAAAAAAAAAAAAAACAGCGTGGGGTCCCTCCTCCCATCCATACCAAGCTCTTTGGGTCTGGTATGGATTTAAACATTTTTTTTTTTTTTTTTAAAATGGCGTGGGGGGTCTCCCCCAAAATCCATACCAGACCCTTATCCGAGCATGCAGGAAGGGGTTAACATGTAGGTTGATCAAAAGGGTTAACTGTGTGCCGTTTTACTATGTGGGCTGTGTGTGCTTTACACTGTAAGCATACTGCTTTGTATGTAGAGCCACTGCTATGCGGCGTGGGAAGCGGTTAAAGTGGTTCTAAAGCTAAATTGACTCCTGCTGTTGTCAGGCAAATCTTGTAAGCAGGGAGTAGGGGCAAGGGCAGACTTGCATTGTGTATGTCTATGGACACACACAGCCCAGCTCAGAAGAGAGCCCACACGTCTGCCCTCAGAGCATATAGATTGCTATAGGAGGAAAAACAGAAGAGGAAGAGCCAAGATCGCCAGCAAGGGACCCCGGAAAAGAATACCACTGCACAGAGCAGGGGAGTATGTTTATTATTATATTTTTTTTTTAAATTGCCTCTTGAAACACTTTAAAAGCAGTATTAAACCCCAAACCAAAAATGCAATATTGCAGCTAACCAATCCTTTTCATTATTTTTCTTTTTTGGCTTTGTTCCCCCTCTGTATTCACCTGGTGATCTGGCCAGTAACACACCTCCTGTATTAGTGTCTCCACTCTGGATCAAGAAGCACAGGAGGCACCTTTGGGCAGCAGCATTGTTAATCTGGGGGCAGGGAAGTGTTAGATATACTAGCAAATTCAGATACACTAACATATTGAAGCCAAACTCCAGCTCATACTGCAGATACACAAGCAGTTACAGCAACAGGATTGTTCCATTTGGGATAAAGGTTTTATATGAATAAAGTTGATTACTGTAAGCACCCTGACAGTGGCAAACGGTTTGTCTCATCCCACTTACTGCTACATCTGCAGGAGAGCGTGTTCTGTTAAGAAACAAACTTACTGGTCAGATCACCAGATGAAAATAAGGGAAAGAAAGCCTAAAAGAGAAAACAAATGCAGCCACTGCATCTAGGAATTGGTAAGTTGCAATATAATAAAACATTTGCTTTTGGGTTTAATACTGCTGGGCAGGGCAGGAAAGGTAAATAGAGAATCCTTGTTTTTCAGTGTTGTGCACAATTAAACATTTACCTGAAGTGCTCATACATGTGCTGATAATCTCCAAAGAAATATTGTTTGCGACCAAACATGTTGAGTGTATGCAGACTCCTAACTCTATTACCTGTATTTCCCGTATGCTGGAAAATTTGAATGCACAATTGTTGCATCTGTCCAAAATTCTCCAGTTTACCAGAGGGCCAACAACTAGTTCACAGAATTAGCTCTGTGTGTCTGGTGAAATCTGCTAACAAATTGGCAGCCTGAGAAGGTAATGGTAGATTGCATTGTGTGTAGTAAGTCACAATTGTGTCAACGCCAAGCCTAGCCAATCTGGGTGACTCGCAAAGCTTGGTGCATGTGTATTGCCTTGCTGGGAATGAGCGGGTTACACGGGACACATTGGCTCCAATCCTATTAATCTTGTTTAAGTGGATGCAGCACTATTTGCCTTTCTCAGTTCCGAGCAGAGTGCCCGTGACAAGCCAAAACCATACAAAAGAATTTAATTAGCTCGCAGAGCGCCTAACAGAGCAAGTTCCACTACGAAAAAAAAATCAATTTTTAATAATGTTATACATTAAGCAACAAATCTTCACATCTTCACATGTGCCTTTCACACCCCCCCCCCCCCCCCCCCCCCCCCCCCCCCCCCCCACTTTGCTCTGCTCTTGCCTGAACACGGTGGAGAGATGGGCAAGAGCCCAGCAATTCCTAACACAGGAGATCTATGGAAAGCGCAGGGTGACAGCTGAATCTATACTGGAAGAGCAGAGGATATATTGACCCTATA